TCTTCACTGCATTACAAGCTTCTGACTGAAATTAAAATACCATTTTTCTATAATTTTATGACCTTTTTTATTCAAATTAAAGTTTAAAAAATTCATAACTAATCCAAAAATGCATTAATTTTAATTCGGATTGCTTTCCTATGTTTTCTGTTAATAGGACAATAAATCTGCATACTCAGTTTAACATTTTAAAAACTTAAAATGACTGAAATTATAGTAGCATTCTTTGAACAGATATATTTATCTTTACTTTTATATGACAATTTTTTCCTACACATCAAAAACTAAAAATCTCATAACTAAGCCAAAAATGCATTAATTTTAATTCGGACTGCTTTCCTATGTTAGTTTTTAAGAGGTTAACAAAGCTGCATACTCAGTTTAAAACCTAAAATTGTTGCCGTTTTTCGGAAATTTTAATGATGTAACCCCTTATAATTTTTTACAAAAATCGACAAAAATTGAAAAAATTTATTTTTTTTAAATATAGCTAGATCGACTCGCTGTTTAATTCTGATCAAGAATATATATGATTTATGGGGTCGGAAATGACTCCTTCACTGCATTACAAGCTTCTGACTGAAATTAGAATACCATTTTTCTATAATTTTATTTTATAATTTTATGACCTTTTTTTGTTCAAATTAAAGTTTAAAAAATTCATAACTAATCCAAAAATGCATTAATTTTAATTCGGATTGCTTTCCTATGTTAGTTTTTAAGAGGTTAACAAAGCTGCATACTCAGTTTAAAACCTAAAATTTTTGCCATTTTTCGGAAATTTTAATGATGTAACCCCTTATCATTTTTTACAAAAATCGACAAAAATTGAAAAAATTTATTTTCTTTAAAATATAGCTAGATCGACTCGCTGTTTAATTCTGATCAAGAATATATATGATTTATGGGGTCGGAAATGACTCCTTCACTGCATTACAAGCTTCTGACTGAAATTAGAATACCATTTTTCTATAATTTTATTTTATAATTTTATGACCTTTTTTTGTTCAAATTAAAGTTTAAAAAATTCATAACTAATCCAAAAATGCATTAATTTTAATTCGGATTGCTTTCCTATGTTTTCTGTTAATAGGACAATAAATCTGCATACTCAGTTTAACATTTTAAAAACTTAAAATGACTGAAATTATAGTAGCATTCTTTGAACAGATATATTTATCTTTACTTTTATATGACAATTTTTTCCTACACATCAAAAACTAAAAATCTCATAACTAAGCCAAAAATGCATTAATTTTAATTCGGACTGCTTTCCTATGTTAGTTTTTAAGAGGTTAACAAAGCTGCATACTCAGTTTAAAACCTAAAATTGTTGCCGTTTTTCGGAAATTTTAATGATGTAACCCCTTATAATTTTTTACAAAAATCGACAAAAATTGAAAAAATTTATTTTTTTTAAATATAGCTAGATCGACTCGCTGTTTAATTCTGATCAAGAATATATATGATTTATGGGGTCGGAAATGACTCCTTCACTGCATTACAAGCTTCTGACTGAAATTAGAATACCATTTTTCTATAATTTTATTTTATAATTTTATGACCTTTTTTTGTTCAAATTAAAGTTTAAAAAATTCATAACTAATCCAAAAATGCATTAATTTTAATTCGGATTGCTTTCCTATGTTAGTTTTTAAGAGGTTAACAAAGCTGCATACTCAGTTTAAAACCTAAAATTTTTGCCATTTTTCGGAAATTTTAATGATGTAACCCCTTATCATTTTTTACAAAAATCGACAAAAATTGAAAAAATTTATTTTCTTTAAAATATAGCTAGATCGACTCGCTGTTTAATTCTGATCAAGAATATATATGATTTATGGGGTCGGAAATGACTCCTTCACTGCATTACAAGCTTCTGACTGAAATTAGAATACCATTTTTCTATAATTTTATTTTATAATTTTATGACCTTTTTTTGTTCAAATTAAAGTTTAAAAAATTCATAACTAATCCAAAAATGCATTAATTTTAATTCGGATTGCTTTCCTATGTTTTCTGTTAATAGGACAATAAATCATAACTAATCCAAAAATGCATTAATTTTAATTCGGATTGCTTTCCTATGTTTTCTGTTAATAGGACAATAAATCTGCATACTCAGTTTAACATTTTAAAAACTTAAAATGACTGAAATTATAGTAGCATTCTTTGAACAGATATATTTATCTATACTTTTATATGACAATTTTTTCCTACACATCAAAAACTAAAAATCTCATAACTAAGCCAAAAATGCATTAATTTTAATTCGGACTGCTTTCCTATGTTAGTTTTTAAGAGGTTAACAAAGCTGCATACTCAGTTTAAAACCTAAAATTGTTGCCGTTTTTCGGAAATTTTAATGATGTAACCCCTTATCATTTTTTACAAAAATCGACAAAAATTGAAAAAATTTATTTTCTTTAAAATATAGCTAGATCGACTCGCTGTTTAATTCTGATCAAGAATATATATGATTTATAGGGTCGGAAATGACTTCTTCACTGCATTACAAGCTTCTGATTGAAATTAAAATACCATTTTTCTATAATTTTATGACCTTTTTTTATTCAAATCCAAGTTTAAAAAATTCATAACTAATCCAAAAATGCATTAATTTTAATTCGGATTGCTTTCCTATGTTTTCTGTTAATGGGATAATAAATCTGCATACTCAGTTTAACATTTTAAAAACTTAAAATGACTGAAATTATAGTAGCATTTTTTGAACAGATATATTTATCTATACTTTTATATGACAATTTTTTCCTACACATCAAAAACTAAAAATCTCATAACTAAGCCAAAAATGCATTAATTTTAATTCGGACTGCTTTCCTATGTTAGTTTTTAAGAGGTTAACAAAGCTGCATACTCAGTTTAAAACCTAAAATTTTTGCCATTTTTCGGAAATTTTAATGATGTAACCCCTTATCATTTTTTACAAAAATCGACAAAAATTGAAAAAATTTATTTTCTTTAAAATATAGCTAGATCGACTCGCTGTTTAATTCTGATCAAGAATATATATGATTTATAGGGTCGGAAATGACTTCTTCACTGCATTACAAGCTTCTGATTGAAATTAAAATACCATTTTTCTATAATTTTATTTTATAATTTTATGACCTTTTTTTGTTCAAATTAAAGTTTAAAAAATTCATAACTATTCCAAAAATGCATTCATTTTAATTCGGACTGCTTTCCTATGTTTTCTGTTAATAGAACAATAAATCTGCATACTCAGTTTAACATTTTAAAAACTTAAAATGACTGAAATTATAGTAGCATTCTTTGAACAGATATATTTATCTATACTTTTATATGACAATTTTTTCCTACACATCAAAAACTAAAAATCTCATAACTAAGCCAAAAATGCATTAATTTTAATTCGGACTGCTTTCCTATGTTAGTTTTTAAGAGGTTAACAAAGCTGCATACTCAGTTTAAAACCTAAAATTTTTGCCATTTTTCGGAAATTTTAATGATGTAACCCCTTATCATTTTTTACAAAAATCGACAAAAATTGAAAAAATTTATTTTCTTTAAAATATAGCTAGATCGACTAGCTGTTTAATTCTGATCAAGAATATATATGATTTATGGGGTCGGAAATGACTCCTTCACTGCATTACAAGCTTCTGATTGAAATTAAAATACCATTTTTCTATAATTTTATGACCTTTTTTTATTCAAATCCAAGTTTAAAAAATTCATAACTAATCCAAAAATGCATTAATTTTAATTCGGATTGCTTTCCTATGTTTTCTGTTAATGGGATAATAAATCTGCATACTCAGTTTAACATTTTAAAAACTTAAAATGACTGAAATTATAGTAGCATTTTTTGAACAGATATATTTATCTATACTTTTATATGACAATTTTTTCCTACACATCAAAAACTAAAAATCTCATAACTGAGCCAAAAATGCATTAATTTTAATTCGGACTGCTTTCCTATGTTAGTTTTTAAGAGGTTAACAAAGCTGCATACTCAGTTTAAAACCTAAAATTTTTGCCATTTTTCGGAAATTTTAATGATGTAACCCCTTATCATTTTTTACAAAAATCGACAAAAATTGAAAAAATTTATTTTCTTTAAAATATAGCTAGATCGACTCGCTGTTTAATTCTGATCAAGAATATATATGATTTATGGGGTCGGAAATGACTCCTTCACTGCATTACAAGCTTCTGATTGAAATTAAAATACCATTTTTTTATAATTTTATGACCTTTTTTTGTTCAAATCAAAGTTTAAAAAATTCATAACTAATCCAAAAATGCATTAATTTTAATTTGGAAAGCTTTTCTATGTTTTCTGTTAATAAGTCAATAAATCTGCATACTTAGTATTATCTGAAAAATGGTATTCTAATTTCAGTCGGAAACTTGTTATGTTGTCATATAAATATATATGTTCCTCAGAACTCGGTTAAGGAATTGAGGTCCAGCTTTTCATTCACCTAAATTGATAAGAATTGTTTATATTTTTTCGCGTTATAAGTGACTAATGTGTGTAGGCAAGTCTTGAATGAAAACATTTACTCTCTGAGCTGTGATGCAAACACTCTATATTTTTTCCCCGAATAGTCTACGTCACTGCCCTTTCCGAGTAGGCATTACTCACTTCATTAACTGAATGCCGGTGCATGGAATAACGAAATAATGGAGTCGCCATGAAAAGCCGAACAATGAAGTATTACAAGGTGAGTTGCGCACGCGTGCTCAGCCACCCGCAGGTAATTGCCAAATTTCCCTTTCTGATAAGCTTATATACCTAACAAAAGTTAAAAGCTTATTGGATGGAAAGGCAGAACCAGCATCTTATTGCAAAGTAATTTCCCTGTCTGCCTTTCGCGGGTTCTGTTATCAGCCCTCAGCTCCGTCGCGTGTGTGTATATATAATTTGTTGTTCATTAAATGAGAATGTGCTAATGACTTTAGCTATAGCCGAGGCCCAAGCTCAAGTCTCTACCGACCGGCGATCGGTTTCAGTGTTCAATGCAATCAGCTCTCGTCAACACAGCACGCAAAAAATGCAGTCCACTGTGAGAGTTCCCTTTGCGTTTTTCTGCATTTTGGTGACTGGAATTCTGGGTCAGGATGTAAAGCCCGAGCTTCCAGAGTACTTGCCGCCACCCACCACCACGCAGGAGGTGATCATAGAGGTCCCGACGACTACAACAACAACAGAAATTCCAACAACAATTGCAATTGAGGAAACTACCATAATTACGAATGAGGATGTCACAACTGTGCCAACAGAGGAACTTACAACAATGCCAACAACTCCAACAGAACCTACAACTACAACTTCAACAACAACAACAACTATACCTACGGATGTTCCAACAACAATTGCAATCGATGAGACTACTGTCTTACCAACAACTTCAACTACAGAACCCATCACTACAATTTCAACAACAACTACCCAAAGCGAACCTATATATCCCACCTACTCACCACCCTCCATACCGCCTTATCTGCGACCTACGACCTCGAGACGTCCTTTTTACACCACTAAGAATCCTTGGAGTTGGGATGAACCCGCAGAACGGTGCTATCTGAAGGAGCAGCCTGAGTATATAACAAACTGTTGGGGTAAGTGGGACACAAGGTCGTCGTCAATGGGGGAATCCAACTCATTATCTGTTTTTATTTTTCGCAGGCTTTGGCTGGGAGTCGTTCACTTGTTATCGCTGCTGTTATTACCCGAACAGTAATTTTGCCGGATGCAGTAGACTCCATCGGGGGCGTTGTGGGTGGTTTTACTAAGGGAAAGTTTAGGTAAAACACCTGTTGTATATATAAATTGGAAGCAATATAAAAAATAAGTTTGAGAGCGTTTTCCAGAGTAAAAAGATATTATTTAATAAATTCGGAGAGTAATATATGAGTTAAAAATGATTAAAACACGGATAAAACTTTAAATCTATTCAAATAATTGCTTCCTGTTACCTTCTCTGTGATCTCTGCATTCTAATCCAGAGTATAAACGTTGCCCAAATTAAGGAAACAGTCCTTGAGATGCTGCTGGGTCTCGCAGAAATCGGGGAAGGGCGGGGCCAGCACATCGTACATGATCCTGATGAGATCAATGAACTTGGCCAATGCCTTCGAGTACTCTCCCGTTTCGTAGAGCCTCTTGGCAGTTCGCGTCATCATCTCAGTGTCCTGCATGACCTTGAGTCCCTTGAGGATGTTGGTTATCTCGCCGCAGGTCACACACTTCACCATAAAATCATTGCAGCTGGGCGGCACCTCAATAACGGCGGCACAATTGTTCGGGGCATCGCACCGGAAGCGAATCACATCCCTGGGAAGATCCTCGAACCGGGGCCAATTGTCGATGCAGGCATCGCAGGTGCACTCGAACCAGTAAAGCTCCTTGAGACGACTCTGGCGATCCGAGCGCTCATCCTGCGTGTATATCGGACCATAGTTCTCATTGATGGGCAGGCCAGCTTCAATCGGACGAACGCTGTTGATATGGATGGTGGTTCCTCGGAAATACCTAACCACGCCGGGATCACAGGAGTGATTGAACAGGGCCAAGGTGGGATAGATGGCTCCACCTATGAAAATGGATTTCTCGCGTTTCGTCGAGCTAAACTTATGGAGTTCAGCCACCTCGTGGGTATTGAACTGGATGAACTGCAGACTGCGCAGGACCAAAGAGCAAATGGCTTTAACCTCATCGGGCTTGGACTCGGGACCAAAGTAACCACTGGCTTGCAGGCAACGGGTCAGAAAGCGAGCCATGAGGACATGTTGGAAGAAGTTAGAGGGCTGCCTTTCACCCTGATGTCTCTCCAACTGAGCCACTCGACGGAAGTCGTCCTTGGGAAGGCTACAAAAGAAGGACTTATAGTGAAATCCTATAAGAAATGAAGGTCTCTCCTACCTGATCAACTCCTCTGGTGCCAACTCCTCATCTATGGTGGGCTTCAGCTTTAAGAAATAATCCAAGGGCTTGCTGGCAAAGATCCTTAAGGCTATATGATTGTTAATAGAGGCACCCGATCGCCAGATAATGGGCACTATACCACACTCGTATTTATGATACTTTTTCGAAGCCTCATTGCGGCATTGCTCCGAGCAATAGATGACATCGGAGCAACGGGGACAGGCCACAGGAACCACAGTCCTAAAATCATAGCAAGTAAGTAAAGGATCTTGGTAGGAATATATCACAACTATTACCTCACAAAGCAATTCTCGCAATGGGTCTTGGCAAACTTCTCCAGGAGAACGGCTACAAAAGGTCGCTCCACGAGCAGCTCTTCGCCGGCTTTAACATCCGCGGAGGCTCGGGCAAAACGACCTTCCTGACGATTCTGATCAATCCTTACCAAAGGACTCACCAACTCATCCTCCAGCGGGACGGGTTGGGCCACATCCAAGGCCACCTTTCGCTTTTGCTGCTTGGCCTCCTGCTTGGCAGTGCGTGGATCATGTTGCAGCATCTTGATCATGGTCATGGCATCCAGACTGAGCTTGGAACGCTTGTCAGAGGTGAGTGTGGAGTCATCCATGGCGGTGATGCATTTTCTTAGAGGGAAAAATAAGGATTATATAGGATTTATGATGATCTAAAAGGTAGTAAAATTACTTAAAAGCCTCAATGGTATGGGGATAATCCTTCAGAGCCATGTAGCAACGCGCCTGACGTTCGTATAATTTGTAGATCAAGTCTTTGGGATAGCCTAGGTCCAAGGCTCTCTTGATATCAATTAGACATTCTCTGGAAATTGGGGAAAATAATTACAAGTTAAAGATAGAACATAGACTATCTTCCCCAAGACAAACTTTAAGAATCTTCTGAGATATACTTGATTACTTACTGATACTTCTGCATGTGATACAAGGTTGCCGAGCGATTGGCCAATACAATGCGGATTTCTGCCACTAAAATATAAATCAAATCAAATAAAATATAGAAATGCATACATTATAATTAATTATTTACCATTTTCATTGGGCAATGCCACATAGCTCCTAGTATATAGCATCATCGCCTCCAGCCATTTCTTGCCCTTGAAGGCGGCGGTGGCCCGCTCCTTGATCTCCGCCGCCAGAGATGCGTTCTTGCCGGTGAATTCCTGGTTCACCACCAGGTTGGCATCCCCATTACGCACCCAGGCCAGCTGGTCCACATAGGCCACGCGCTCCTCATCGCTCCCGCAGGCGGCTAACTTGGAAATATCCGTCTCACACACGGCTCCAGCCTCCTCCTTGAGCTTCAGATAGTATTCGGCAAAGAAGCCCGGCTTCTGGCTGAGTGGAGTTTTCATTTTATCACTTAATTTAACTCAGAAATTATGCAAGTTTATAGAGGAATTATTCTAGGTTTTTCCTTTGCTGTACACTCAGCCAGAAAACTGCAGAAGAACTGATTGAGGAAAATGCGACACGACAGCGTGTGGCAGCTTTTTTGGGGTTTTATTTTTAGACAAAAGAGTAGGGAAGTATTAAGAAAGAGAAGAAATCAAAAAATATTTAGAGAGGAGAAAATGAGAGAGAAGAAAGCATTAAGAGAAAGAGCGTGCGATAAGGTTTTGTTTACAAACAAAAACTAGTTGCCGCCTGCCAAGTGTGTGTGTACATAGTTTTAAGCTATTTTTAGTAATAGACGAAAAGGCTTGTCAAACTAATTAAAATAGTTGAAATTAAGCTAAATTTTGCCACAATTTTAAAGATTATTAAAACAATAAACGCTGTTAAAGTATTTTTAGTTTTTAGCCATGTTCGTCTGTCAATTACTATGCAAACTACTCCCAAAGTTTTTAAGCTATCTGAATGACCCATTGCAGTTTGTATTCTATATACTCGGACTAGTATATGAGTTAAAACGGGCCGGATCGAACGACTATATCCCATAGCTGCCATAGGAAATATCGTAACATTAAGAAAAATTTGTAACTTTTCCAGTTCACTACAAATTTTCATCCAAATCCATAAAGCATTTTGATTACTTTATAATTTCGGTTTTAATTTTATCAAGATCGGCCGACTATATCATATAGCTTCCATTGAAACGATCGTTAAATGTATGTCGCTCTCTTTTCCTGTGTCTCTCTAGAGATATGCCTTTCACTCAGGAGGCAACTCTTTCTCTTTTTCTCTCTTTCGCTCTCTCACTCTCACTTTCTCTGTTCTCTTTACCCGAACACTATAAATACCAGGCTCTACCATTGCTGGGCCCTCATTCCGTGTGCGGCGTCCTCTCTGTTAACATCTTTAGTGATACTGGAAGTGATAGTGGTTGCTCTTCGACCTCAATAACATTACCTGACCAATTCAATTCTTCTGGTTAACCAGAAAGAAGCTCAACACGAACATAACACTACACTTATGGGAATTAAGCAATGACAAAAGAGGATGAACATGTGTCCTCACTGGGGTTAGGCTTAAGCAAGTCAATTTTAACAAAATATAAAAGCTATCTGGGTCTAGCATCTGATATTTTAGCTATGAATTTGTTTTTCAATAAATTTCCTAATTGGCATGGATCCCATTACTTTATATTCAGTTACAGAAATTTGTATATCGCCCTTTGCTTACTCCAACTATAACTAAATCAATAAGTACGCGGTAAAAGTTGCAGAGTTCAAAAACTAAATAATAATTTAAAAAAAAAAATAATAATAAATAACAAAAAAAGAAAAATAAATCATTTAAAAACGATCTTTATGGTTCTGCCTCCTGTGAGGATTGAACTCACGACCCCTGGTTTACAAGACCAGTGCTCTGCCACTGAGCTAAAGAGGCTTGGCAAGGCGGCCGGCAAAAGCGAAACTCGAACTCAGCGGCTGTTCGCACGTTCGCTTGCTCTCTGTTATGTCGCTGTTGTTGTTGCTGTTACTGTAGCTGTTGCCCGCGGGTGGTTCGAAGAGTTGGAGGAGAGGAAATTCTAGCAATTATAATTACTGGGAGCACTTTAAGAAATTGGCTCCATGACAATGGAAATTAATGCTAGTGCTATCTCTGGCACATCGGCAGCTGCTTGCTACCTAATGAAGACAAGTCGAAGTTCGGCTTCGAGTGGCAATTTGTTATGGGTAAATTGTGGGGGAAATGGATGTGGGAAGTGCACTAGAGAACTATAACTTCTTCTGTATAAGCCAGACACAACTGTACTGTAGTGCAGCTTTGAAAATCCGTTTCCCATATCGAATTACCCCGAAAACCTTTGTTCTCAGCCCTTTCGCCATTTAAGTTGTATGCAAATGCAAAGGTGAAATGCGTAAATTACAGTGTCAACATTACAACGCCCACTTTGGGTTTATGTTTGAGTAAAAAATTCGAATCGCTTCTCTCTCTCTTTTTCTTCTTTTGGGGTGTCCCGCCGTGAAAATGCATTATGCGAAACCCAATACCCGGACTTAGGGGTGCATATTATGTTGTACAAGTATGTAAATTTCCCTAAGCTGTTGAATCCGCGCCCCGCTTTTGACTTTCGGTATTTGTAAACTCTTTATTGTTACTTCCTTTTTGGGGTTGTTGGTGCCCGGGCAGTGTTGGAAAGCGTTTTGTGAACTGTCAACTGGACATGACAGCTAGATCGCTTGTCTAGTCCTGTGCTGTCATCAATCACGGAAGGAAGGGGTGTAGGAAACAATGTAATCATCAGGACTTACAGCCAAGCAGCTGTCACTTGTACACTCCACTGTAGTACAGTAGAGCCAGCCACTCAAAGGATGCCCCGTGTGGTGGTCGGTCGGTCCTTGATTGAACATTGTCAATACTCGTAATCGTAATGTTTATGGGCTGTCATCCCGAG